TCAACAGCATGGGTGTGTTTGAGTATTTGTGAACGATGATTCTTTGGCTGACACAAATAGGAATGTACCGCTCATTCTCTGAGCTTACGCGCGCGGCATTGAAGCATGCCGTTGCTGAGAAGAAGCTCGCTCTGTCTAAAGAAGACGAAGAACGTCTTATGGACGCCTACAATGGCCTACAGACTTTCCCCGAGATCAAGGATGCCTTGGAGATAGTCGAAAATGTTCCCACGATAGACGCATATGTCTTCTCAAACGGCACCGACGACATGGTGGGCACCTCAATGAAGACGTCGCCGGACCTGTCCCGTATGAGCCATGTGTTTGGGCCTACCCGGTTGATCACTGTTGAAGAGGTTCAGTGCTTCAAACCCTCGCCAAAGACCTATGAACACTTTGCGAGGAAGGTGGGTATGTCTGACCAAAAGTCCGCCATCTGGCTTATCAGTTCAAACCCCTTTGATGCGCTCGGCGCGAGAGCTGCAGGATGGAAGTCAGCCTGGATCGACCGCGCCGGCGTTGGCTGGGTCGATGCTCTGGGTAGCACCATCGGGCAGGAGCCATCCGTCGTTGTCAACGGAGTAGACGAAGCTCTGAGGAAGATTGTGGAGATTTCAAAGTAAGGTAAATATGCTCGCCGGGGGCGGATGAACCCTTCGGTGACGTCGCTCAAGTTGGAAAGTAGGCATAATGCTTGATTCACTTAAGCTTGAGTCGCTTCACGGAGCCTCTGTCTGCCCATACTTTGACGAGACCGACGGGCTTAATGACATCACTGTACGGCTAGATTACTGATATCGTGCATTGAGAGGCTTGCGTACCCTTTTCCTCTTGAAACTCCCTCTGTACGCGGCTGTAGCCTCGACGGATAAACGAAACGTTGTTGAAGCCATCATGCCGTTTCCGCATCACAATAAATTGATTGCAGCTCCAACGGCAAAAGTTTCCAACGTGAGAACCAAGGAACAAACAGACTACTGGGCGCGCGACTCATCACTCTTGTAACTTTGAACGAGATGGGCCAGGTTCACCACCATCTCGGAATATTTGGCCGCATCAGGAGGGAACCGCGCACTGATGTAATTGTACTCTGTGTCCTCAACCACAAACCTAGAAGCTGTAAGCGAAGGGCAAGTCAGGACGAAAACGTACGTACGGCCGGTTTGGGACCCAACTGGACTTGAACTGGCTGGGGTCTTTGAGCACCTTTTTCATCTGTCGAACCGTTAGAGTTGTGCATGTGCATCTGAACCAAACAACTGACTGAAGTCTCGACATTCTCGCTGCCAGCACCGTAGGTCTTGTAGTAGTCGCCTAGAAATAGCCTAGTCCCATGAAAGGCCACCGACTCGAAGCACGCAGGAAGCGCCGTGGTCGTGCAGTGGTATAGAACGCTGTTTCCATCCTCTCCCTTGGCGTTGCAGAGCACCAGCGGCCCATGACAGATGGCGCCCACGACCTTCTTGCCAGGCTTCTTCGTCTTGGGAAAATAGTCAGCGAACAGCTTCTGAACGACGGCATTGTCCATGAGCTGGCGCACGTCTTTGTCGTGGCCGCCGGGGATGTGCACGACATCAAAGTCGTCGAGGGAGAAGCCCGGGGCGGTCCACGACAGCGGCTGCTGCATTTCCGCAGATTCCGTCATGGACTCGTACAGCTTCATGACCGAGGCGGCGGCGCCCTGTCGAACAGCAGCGAGGTCAGCTCGGGTGGACAAGTCATTGGACGGCAGCAGCACGCCGGAAACCGGGGCAGATTGGCGACATGCGAGATCTGCGCGCGCTTAATGCAATTGCTCGGGTTTTGTGACAGTGTTGTCTGGCACGAGGGATGAAGCACGGGTCGTAAATCGAAAAGAAGAGATCGGGGTGCGCACCAGCAGCTTCTGGGAGAGGCCCTCGAGCATCCTGCTATCGCATCGGGGGGTTTTGCCCGTTTCGGTGGCAAAGTTCACGTCGAAGGCAGCATCTTTGAAGGCCTGGTAGGGGACGGCGACCTCTGTGGGAGCATGACACAGATTAGCTTTGCGGTTCGTGACGCAGATCCGGTAGTGGAGGGGTTTTGTGGTGGTGAGGTGCGGCAGGGAAGCGGTCTTGGGACGGAGGAGACTGTGGAGATGGATGCGTGTGTGTGCGTGTGTGGTGGACACGGGCGGGATGAGGAGGGGACGGAGAGGAGGGGAGACACCGGGATCATGTCAGTGACATGGGTGCTGACCTGTAGGATCGTGGCCATAGTCGGCCATGATGATGAGGACCTTGACCATTGTGGGTGTGTTTGATGGAGCCGATCGTGCCTAGTGCCAGTGTATCCGTACCGACGGTGGTGTATTGTTTACGAGAGGTTCAGCTCGGCCGTCTCGAATGGATAATCCATCAGGTGCTGCAAGGGAGACGACGGCTCGATCGAGACGGCATCGGGACGGTATCTCACAGGGCGTCAGCACCTCATCCCGGTCGCCGCACAATCACGGGTGCCGACTCGCCGGGACGATAAGATACCTAGGTGCTGATAGGTAGGTATCCATGATGACGCTGACCTGAGATTGGTTTAACGGTTGAGCTGACCACTGAAGAACGTTGTGGCTCGACGGCAACGAACGGTCCTGTGCGAGGTCGAGGCGACATTGGACGACGGGACCCTGAATATGAAGCAAGCCGGGGGGGGGGGGGGGGGGGGGGGGGATGGGCAGCTCAATCACCGTGCCCTGCTGCTGCCCCCTTTAGTACTCGTGGCACTAAGGCACCAGGACCCGTCCGCTGTGGGCCCCGGCTCGACGTCATCTCTGCCAGATTTTGATCCCCCTCCAAATCTAAATCTTGTATTGCTCCTCTCACACACTCGGCCGTCTCGTCTCCTATCCGTCGCCTGTGCCTTTCCATGGCCTCCCTTGCTCCGTTGCCGGCCGCCCAACGTCGATCATGTCTGACTTTGAAGACGAACTCTTGCGACCTGACTAGACACCTACACTACTACGCAGTAGACTACCTTACCTGGGCACTTCATAGTTAGGCGATGAAAAGTGCAGCGCTACCCGGGAGTCAAGCTTTCAACCGTCTCCAGCGCATGACATCGCCGCCCTCTTGGCCGCCCCCCTTGGCCCCGTCAGTCCCGGCACCGGGTCCAGCCCGTCTGCACATCCTGTTCGCTTGTAGAAATCCCCTCCGCCCGTTTACGCAATTCAAGACCAACAAGCAAGCGCAAGCGTGTCCGTCAGCGTCAGGTATTATCTCCTCGCCATCCCTGCAACGTGACTACCGGCAACCCGGAAACCCCAGCCTGTGTCCACATAAGCCCATTATGACCCCGCGGGTACGGACATGACGACAGCCTTGGCTCTGGGGATATATGTCTCAAGAGCCGCCGCTTTCTCTTTTCCTTCCCGCTTGGAAAGTCATCCATCCATCCATCCGCACCCCTTTTTTGACTTGGCACCATGAAGCTCTCAGCAGACGACAGCATGCCCATCGGCGACCTGCAACCAGAACAGGCCCAGCTGGGCGGCACCTATGTCGACACCGTCGTCGACGTCTCTGAACAGCTGTTCTACATGAAGCAGCTTCTCCCCCTCGTCAAGCTCCTCGCCCTCGTCTACAAAGTCCGTGCTCCAAGTCCGTCAGAGGAGGATCGCATGAACACCCTCATGCGGACGCTTTCAGGAGACACCCTGAACAAGACGACCACCGACAGGTATCCCCAAGGCTTCACCAGAGACGAGATTATCCAGTCCTTCAGCAGGCTCCTCAGCCCCGTCCTCAACGGCCTAAGCGGACTGGACGACTTTGAGAAGGCCATCAGCGCCGGCGAAGACCCTGCTGGTTTCCGGCAGTTCTGGGCCCTCGACGACAGGAACCTGCTCACCGACGCGGTGTCCGGCAAAGGCCCGATGGCGTCCGTCACAGAAACGGATATCCCCTTCCTTGACATCTTCGTCAAGGACAAGACTCGCCGGCTGGCATTGACCCAGGACCACGCCGCTCTCGTTCTCGTCCCTCACGACACCAGACCGGGCGACGAGATCTGGGCCATGTCCCGCACCGAGAAGCTGGTCGTCATCCGCCTCGACGACCCAGAGGCTGCGTCGACGACCGTCGGCATTCTCGGGGAGGCGTACAGCCACGGCTTCTCCAAGGAGCCGCCGCCTCCAAATTGCAAGCAAGTATACAACAGCGCGGAATTCTTGACGTCCTCCGTGGCTGTTGGTCTGGCCGGCGCAGTCCCCAGGTGACTGCGACGTTGCCAAATGAGACGAGAGCCAGCAGGATTTGGATCGGCAAAAGCATAATTCTTGGAGAAATTCACGCCTTGGTCAAATTTTACCGCTCATCATTCAACCAAGGTCCTTGTTGGAGAGGCATCAATAGCAGGCGTTCGGGTTCAGGTTGTAGTACGGGAAAAGTGAGCACAGCACATCAAGGCGGGCGCACTGGCGTTCATTGGAGACATGACTTAGTTACACACCAGGCCAGAAAACATCGCGGAGGCATTTTCAGATACCACCACCACCAGACCAGGCAAAAGATCAAGCAGCCTCAGGGGCATCAGTAGATAGAAAAATCAGAGTTTCGCTTGACAGGCACCTCAGTCCCAAGCGGGGAAGTGAAATGACATTGCCGTAGGGTGCCCTAGCGCAATTAGTCGCTTCGAGACCACCCCTGAACCTTGGGTTATGGGCCCGACTCGCTCTCCTCAGCGTTCTGGACCGTAGGACCTACGGAGTAGGATTGGGAGGTTCATCCAAGATTTCGGTAAGCGGTGGGCGGAGGAGTCGGCCAGCAATTGAAGCAACTCAATTTTGCCGGCCAATCCGCCGCCCGTTGACCTCGACCGTTCAATTGGGAGATATCGCGGTTAACGGCAACCTCTCACACTGAGATCAGGGTCGTTGCTACACTGTTCCGTGAACTCTGCCAAGCATCGTAACAACACGCGACCGTCCGACGAACCTCGCGATGGAGGGCCTGCTCCTGCTATCCGTGAGGTCCATCGCGGCGGCCATCATGGCCGTCGTCGTTGGCTCCGTGCTGTACTTTTTCAAGCTTCTGATGAAGCACCGCGGCAAGATGGCCGATCTGAAGAAGCAGGGCCTGGTGAGCTGTCTCCCGTCGTCGTCTTCATCGTCGTCCAAACTAACCGTCACGCCCAGCCCGTGGTCCCTCACAATTTCCTCTTTGGCAACCTCCTCGAAGCCAAAAAGGCCTTTGACAGCTTGCCGCCCGGCGTGCACGCAAACTACGTCCTGGCTAAGCTGGCCGAGCCCTTCCCCAACGGTGCTTTCTACATGGACACTTGGCCGATGGCCGACCCGATGCTCCTCATCACGGACCCGGACATGGCCCACCAGGCCGTCTACCACCCGGTCGTCGGCTCTCAGAAGCCGCCCATGCTCACCGGCTGGTTCCACCCCATCACCGGCGGCCCGAGCCAGTTCGACACCAACGGCCGCCCCTGGAAGCACCTCCAGAACCTCTTCAGTCCCAGCTTCAGCAACCAGAACATCACCGCCGAGGTCCCCGTCATCGTCGACGGCATCCGCGTGTTCGCCGAAAGGCTGCGCGAACAGGCCCGCAAGGGGGACATGTTCCGCCTGGAGCCCCTCGCGCTGGACCTCATCACCGACATCATCGGCGAGGTCCTGCTCAACGTGCGCCTCGACACGCAGAAGCAGAAACACCCGCTCGCCGAGGCGATGAAGGGCCAGCTGCGGCTCAAGTTCACCGCCCACAAGCCCGAGAACCTGCTGTCGCGCATCGACCCCGTCACCCTCTTCCGCACCTGGAACGGTGGCCGCGTCCTCGACAACCACATCAAGGAGCAGATCGCCGCCCGCTTCCGCGTCCTGCGCGAGAACAAGGCGCACAACCGCGAAAAGGCGGAGCGCTTCCAGTCCGTCCTCGACAGCGCCATCGAGAACTGGCTCGCGCAGCCGCAGAACGCGGGGCGCACGGCGCTGGACGCGGACTACCTCCGCATCATGACGCGCAACATGCGCATGTTCTTCTTCGCGGGCTACGACTCGTCGGCGGCCACCATCGTCTACTGCTTCCACAACATCTACTCCCGCCCGGACGTCCTCGCGAGGGTGCGCGCCGAGCACGACGAGGTGTTTGGCGCCGACGTGGCCTCCGCGCCGGCCAAGATCGTCGAGAATCCCAGTCTGCTCAACTCGCTGCCCTACACGAACGCCTGCATCAAGGAGTCGCTCCGCCTGTTCCCGCCGGCGGGCGGCATCCGCCAGGGCTCCGCGGACCTCGTCCTCAAGGACGCCGAGGGGAACCTGTTCCCGACGGAGGGGATCGCCATCACGATGCTCCACTGGGTCATCGGGCGGAACCCGAGATACTGGGTCAAGCCGGACGAGTTCATCCCGGAGCGGTGGCTCGTGACGGACCCCGCGGACAAACTCTACCCCCCGCGGGGCGGCTGGCGAATCTTCGAGTACGGGTCGCGGCTATGCGTCGGGCAGCAGCTCGTCATGGTGGAGGCGCGGGCGGTCCTGGCCTGCATCATCAGGGAGTTTGATATTCGGGACTCGTTCGCGGAGATTGATGGGGAGCGGAAGCTTGACACAAGCGGGCTTGGCGGGCAGAGGGTGTTCATGGTGGAGGCAGGCGCTGCGCATCCCACGGACGGATATCCGTGTAGGGTTTCGCTGAGTGGATACAAGGCATGATGATGTTGGAGAGATGGCCAGCTCGAGCGAGGATGAGGTTACGCCGTTGCGTTATTCAGAGAGTGATTTGGTGGCGGATGTGATGTCTCAGGCAGAGTGCATAATACAGTATCGCCCAGTTTGCCTTGCCAATCATCCTGTCCCGTATATCCGTGGCTTGCTGTCGTTCACGTCGTACAAGTGTCGTAAGCAGTCTCCGTCTGCCAGGTCCAATTGTCTGCACAGAGAGGAGCAGAATTCGCCTTCTTGACGGAAATCAGGATTCACGTAAGCCCACAGCCCTCTCGCCCCCCATCTTAGCATCTGGACGATGTCATTGGGGCCAAATCCCATCCTTTTGACAGCGAAGAGAAAATCCTTGGCTCGAAATCGACGGCGACGCCTCAAATCCTTTCGACTCATCGTTGTCGCGTCATCGGATGAACTGGGTCGATTCGCAGTCATGGTTGGCCTCCTAGGAGGATTTGACTAGTTTAGATGAGCTACGGCTAGGCGGCAGCATGTAAGATCTGCCTTGTTGACTCCTAGTCGTGCAAGTTATTCCTCTACTTTGTCAGCTCAGAGGAGCCTCGATTGACGACAACCAGTCACCAAGCACATGCAAAGGATCAAAAAAAAAAAAAAAAAAAAAAAAAAAAAAAAAGCATGATTGGTATCGTTGTATAAACGTCTCTAGCGAGGGTGTTGTATGAACAGCTGTCCCCAAGGACCTCCCCCTTCCGTGCCATCTCCCCTTTTGTCCCCAGATCGTAAACGCCATGAATGTGGTATAATGTAGAAGAAGGTACACAAGCTATCGAGCTCGTAAAACGAAAGAAATGATGCAAAACAATGATGGGTATATCCGATGCCCCTTGGCACCAACCATGAATCACTGGCTCCTCTTCCTCTTGCGCTCAAACTCCACCGTGCCTGCCGTAATGTCCGACTCCTCCACCTCGATGATCGGCACCTGCACCCGTGACGAAGGCGGCTGGTACGCCTGGTACGGCGGGCTGCTGGGCCCGACGCTGTCGCCACTGTCATGTCTCCTGTGTCCCAACAGGGCTTGCCTGTCGCCGCGCCCAGGCGCGTCGTCCTCGTCCATCTCCGGCACGGCCACCAGCACGTGCGAGCTTCCCCAGCTTGGCGCGCGACCCATGCTCTCTCTCGTCACAACCTTTGTGTTTGCCACGGATCCGCTGCCGATGAAGCTATCACTGCGTGCGAGGGGGTTGTCGGCTGGCGGGCTGCTGGCCCACCCGAACTCGGTGTTCATCGCACGCTCAACCATGTAGCGGTCAAACTGAGTGTCTCTTTCGTTGTTGTATTGAGAAGGTGTGCGTTGGAGGGGCTTCGGCTCGGGTTGGGGTTGAGGTATCGAGCCGTGGGGGCTGCTGGTGCCGCTCTTTGCGGAGGATGTCGAGATGCGACGAAGGGAGCGGTCGCCGAGAGACAACCCGCCGATGGACAGGCGGGAGTTGTATGTCGTGTTTTGTTCGAGGTCGTTGAAGCCGTATGGCTTGTGGTTGACCGGGTAGTGGTAGTCGTCGTACTTGGCGAGACGGCGGTACGTTTGAATCGCATAGATGCCAGGGACGGAGATGAGGAGACTGCAACTGGTTAGCTTTGTCTATCATGGAAGTCCATCATGGAAGGGAGTTGACTTACATGAGGAAGCAGTCCAAGCCGAGGCCAACCACGGAGTAGTGGCTGTCTTTTCTTTGGGTGAAGACGACAATGTCGAGAGCGAGTGTGGCCATGGAGCAAACAAACTTGAGTACGTGGGTGAAGATCATGGTCCATGGTGTCAACGTCTCGGCAGCGAGTTTGGAGACTTCGTAGATGGTGGAGAAGAGGCAGATCAAGGAAAATCCAATGTTGACAGACTCCCACCTGAGCAAGATTAGCTTATGCCGTGTGACCAGACGGAAGCAAACTTACACAACTTCAACCGTAGGGAACATGCCCTTGTCCTCCACTTGACTATCCCAATTCCTCAGAGTATCCGATAGACGCCACGAGAAGAGGCCGATGACAGCAAGAAGAACCATCATTTGAAGGATCCAGAAAGGCAGCAGTAGCGCCATGCGCCATCGTGCCCTGTCGAACTGGGCTTGTTGGCGGTGAAGAACCATGTTTGCAGTGATGGATATGATTCTAGGGAGCTTTGATGTCCGCGAGAGTTGTCTGAGGCTGAGAAGACTAGTTCAGACACAAGGCGATCCCGCGAGGTTATAAGCAAGAGGCCCGACGGACAACAAACAAACGATGGATGACAGGGATTCGATCGGAGCCGGGCCCGAGAGACGCGGGGGTGAGCGAGGCTGTGATGAGGCGAGCCTGTCAGAACTCTCTTATGGGGCGTGAGTGCTGCTATTACTATATATAAAAATCACATCACCCAGGGAGCCGGGACGCTGAAATGAGTGAGAGTCCCATCACCAGGCTGCAGCATACCGAAGGGCACTAAACCCTGTGTAGAAGCAGCCGCTCCAGGCCTGGCTTGCTTTGGAATAGGATGGATCGGCTGTCCAGTCGGGGTTTAGGGAGCCGCTCTGTCGCCCGTCTTTTGCAAGCGGTGAATCTGAACAGCCACGATGGTGCTATTGGACGGACACGTTCAGGTTCCCGCTCAAAGAGCTCCCCTGTCAGCCCAGCCGGCGCAAGCCTAGACGGGGGCCCTGGAGTTACTCCAGAGAATGGAATGGCGGCAGCAACGGGGCATCACTAGTTATTCGTTGGAGCCTGGCCGAGACAGCTAGGGGCATGTCCGGGTGTCGGGCAGCGAGGGAAATTAAACGCCATCGTGCCGGCACTCGACGCCCGCGCGGTTCTCTTCCGTTCGACTTGACGCGGTACGCAAGGGCGGGCGAGATGCTGGAATGCTGGAATGAAAGGCCGCATCACTGTGACGCATCGGATGGCGTTTGCGGCTGAGACGGGCCATGAGGTATCGGTCAGGCTGATCTTGATAGCCAACCGGGTGAGACCATCTGCGCATGTTTTCCCCTTCTCGCTCGAGAGGGGGTGACTGGCCCAGGAACGGTCAGGCACTTGCTGACGGCATCAATAGACTGTTGGTCGGGTACGCGAACCTGCAGAAACAGTCAACACAAAAGCAGAGACTCTGCATAGATGGCCGAAAAAGGACTTTTGATGGGTGTGGAGCGCAGCGCCAAGTGCGCCTGCTTCACAGCCTGCCCTGGATATTCGCTTGAGCTGGATCATGACGGCCAAACAGGCAGCGCGCAATCCAGAGTTGCGGCTCTCTCTCGAGGCGGTAGGGTTGGGGCGATCGGGGGTTGGCCCTGATCATCTCGCTACGCGCTTGTCGTCTTCCTGAAGGATCATGTTGAGGAGTATGAGACGCGCTTGTGGTGGCTGCGCAAGTCAAAATGAATCAACTCGGGCCCCGTTCGGCGGCGCACCCCTCTGGTTAGCTAGCGCACCCCCTCTGTGGCGTATGAGGCGTATGCCTCTAATAACTAGCAAAACTAGCGAAACGCTAACTTAAGCGGTTAAAATAGAGGCCTCTAATTAGCCTAGATTAGCTAGAAGATTAGCTAGGGTTTTACTAAGTTATTAAATAGTTTGAAAACTCCTTAGATTTAAACGATTTAAGGCCTAATAGCTAGTTTTTTAGATTTTAATTAAAAAGCTATTATATTATATAATCTCTAGTAGCTATAAATAAGTATAGTATTCAAATTAATAGCTTAGCTAGCCTTAGTATTTAATTTCCTATAGTTTAGCTACCTCCTCTACTTCTTATACCTAACTAGCCTCTACCTTATTAATAAGATAATCTAGCGCGCCCTTAAATTTAAGGTTAATATTAATATTATACCTAAATAGCAGTAAATTATATATATCCTATATAATATCTAACTATATAAATTCACTTTTAACCTATAAAATAAGCTTAATTAGTATAAGTAAGCATTAAAATAAGCTTAGTAATATATTAGTAGTTAGATTAATCACTTTAATATTATTAATATACTTAAAAGTAGTAGTAGCCCTATAAGATTAGCAATAATGTTTAGTGCTAGCTTTATATATATTATTATATTTAATAGCTTTAAGGCCTTCTTAAGTAGTTATAGCCCTACTAAGGATAGGTGGTATAGTTAACAGCAGTGCTAATAACACCTCAGCAGCCTTATTAGTAATCTTAAACTTAAAGTAGGAGGTGTTACGCTTAGAGGTTATATTACTAGCCCTCTTAACAACATAAGGGTAGCCCTTAACCCTAACTTATAGAGAATTAAGGAGAGGTAGGCTAGCAGCACTAACTATAGGTTAAAGTAGCCCTCAAATCTAAAACCAATAAGGGTAAATCTTTTTAGGTAGTAATAGCTAACTTTACTACTTATAAAGCTAGAGAATATAGTAGTAGGGTAAGCTATACATTTTATTAACTAGGTAAAGCTTATAGGTATGCTTTAGCGTTTATATTAAGCTACTCTTACTTAGTTTTACTAGCTTAGCCAGCTTATTAGTAAGGTTATTAAGTGCTTTATTATAGATATAGCGCTTAATTTTACTGAAAACTTTATTAAGCTGACTTAGCGCCTTACCCTTATACGTTTTAATATACTGCATTAAGTTATTATTCTGCTAATCCTAAAAAACCACTAATTTCTAGAAGACGCTCTTAAGATTGCTAGTATAGCAGCAAACCTAGCACTTAATAGAGGCGTAAGAAGACTTAACGATTAATATTATAGTGTAGCTAAAGTGAGCAATCTAATTAGTTTAGAAAGCTACTAACTTTTTATACTAAGGTATAATCCACATAGAGAGGGTGTAATTAACTATAAGGTTAAAGTAGCTAGCACTCTTAAAGGCAGCTTTTTATTAGTTATATATATCTTACGTATTAATATAGAGGAGATTATTCTAATCTTTAAGAAACTAGGTAAACTATAGGTAGTAAGTAATACTACTATTAGTATTCTTTATAGCGTAAGGGAAGTAACACCTAGTTTTAGTGAGAATATTTATATTAATATGCTAGTAGTAGAGAAGGTAAGGTATATTATAGAAGGTAGGGCTAGCGTTAAGAGCTTTAATAAGGGTAAGTTTTTAATTAATATAAGTGACCTATAAGTGATTAATATTATAGTCCTTAAGTAGTTTAATAAGAGTGTTAACTGCCTACTTATAATTATATTCCTTCTTACTAGATAGAAAGTAGGAGGTAACTTAGAAGGCCTACCTATTACTAGTAGCGCTATATATATTAAAAAGTGGTATATTAAAGTAATTAGTTTTATATATTAAATCTATTAGTAGGATGTTAGGGTAGCTTTTAAGGTAGGTAACTGCTATTTATAGCGCTATAAAAAGAGCTATAATATGGCCCTTAGAATCCTACTTAAAGTAGTATTAATACTTCTCTAAGTCGTCTAATTAGTTAAATAGCTACTTAATTAGCATACAGCTAGTAAACTTTTTATAGTGGTAGCAGATAAGGATATTAATAACATTATAGTAGCTGATAATATTATATTAAGTACCTTCTGCATGTAGAGCTATGAGGAGGTAGATAGGTTAAGTACTATAGTTCTAAAGGCATATAATTTTTAGCGCCACCTTAGTGAGGAGGGGTTAATATATCTTATAGTAAGAGTTAATACTAAAAAATTTATAGTTATAGTAGTTATAATGCTTAGGCTGCCTTAGTATGTTAAGTATACTATAAATAAAGTAATTACTATAGGTAGGGTTAAGTTAAATAATAACCTGCTATAGGTAAGAAGTTATATAAGAGGAGCTCTTATAGCGCTTTAAAGTGTAAACTTAAGCCTCATGCTGCCTCGTTTAGGCGCTATTGCGGCGTAGCGAGTAGGCGTACTAGTAGAAGGTCTTCTCTTAAGGGCTATATGCAACTTACATAACATACGCCTAGAAACTGTTAGTAAAGTAGGTAGCAAGTAAGGCTTTATAAGCAGCTTTTTTAGAGGGAAATCTCTTACTTAAGGTGAGGTAGGTATACTTAATAAGGCTATAATTATTATACTTAATAGTATAGGTATAAGTGAAGCTAAGGTTAATAGTAGTAATATTATCACCCTCACTAGTAGTAGAGGAGTTATTAAGAAGGATAAGGTTAGTAGCAGCAGAGCTAGTAAAGGCTACTAATACAACGCTAGGCGTAGCAACAGCCTCCTCTTTCTTAAATTTAATCTCTTCCTATAATAATATCGCAATAGCCTTAAAAAATAGTTAGCAGTAGTAGTATTAATAGGGTATAGACGAAAATACTGAAAATTTGGTGGTAGGCAGGGCGGAGGGCTGGTGTTGGAGTCTGGGCAAAATCAGCTACAGAGGGGGTGCGCCGGCTAACCAGAGGGGTGCGCCGCCGAACGGGGCCCATCAACTCGATCCACTTCTGAATCCCCCGTCTGGGACGCAGAGGAGATTGTGTCATTTGGTGGTGCGTGGGAGGCAGAGGCACTTGGCTCTGAGGAAGAGGGTGTAATAGTGGCCGTCTCGAGTGGACGCCGGTGCCGAGGCGTGCCGGGCTATAACGTCTAACGTGGGTGACTGGGCCTGTTTTGTTGGTCGGGTTGAATGTGGTGAGGTCTGCTTGGCTCCTGGGAGTGCCCCCCAAGAAGGAAACGGCATTCAGCAGGGCTGACGGCGGGGAATGTCGTCGAAAGGGGCATAGCTCGAGGCTAATTCGAGCACCATTGCTGTGCTGACGCCAGGGACGAAAGACATTGGTCTGGTCCCTGCTTTTCCGTCTGTTGCAGCTGGTCACTGGTGCCGTACCCGCCCTTGGTGTGCGTTCTTGCAGACGATATTGTGGCAGTGGCCGATGAGGCTGCAGCTGATTTCTGCGTGATTTTGACTCTTTTCAGTGGGAAAGGTGAGATGTCGCTGGCGAAGCTGTTACGACGAGCTTATTCGAGGTTGGTCATCCACAGGGTCGCAGTGGGTGCAACTCTGGAGCCCAACCGGACGGAACAAGTCCCATTGTTTGTGTTCTTGGCGCAGCAAGCTGGCATGCGAGGCGCAGGGAAGTCGGAACATTGTTGGTGTGTTGTTGGATGTTGGAGCTGGGTTGGTGGGCGAGTGAGTGCCAGCAGCTGGGTTGGTGGGCGAGTGAGTGCCAGCAGCTGGCGAG